CCGCCGCCGCCACAAGACTGTGCACTTCGGCGAAAATCTGCTCATGCAAGTTTGCGCGGACCGTGCGCACCTTGCCGCGCTTGGAGCAAGAGTACCTGATATTTCTTTTTGCCATAAAGCGCACACGGGTGTAAATAAAGGAGATGCTCGCTTTTGCTGTGTAGCGCATCATTGTTGCTTGGCTGCTGGAGCCCTGGTTGCATTGAAATCAAACGGAAGAGCTAAGCCGCACAGGGAACGAAGCGGCGATTCGCATTCGAGCGGCGGGGAGACAGGAGACAAAGGTGAAGGCAGCGGCGGTGCCGAAATCATAGATCACAAACCTAAACGTAAAATCAAGCACCACCATCACCATCATCACCACCACCACAAAGTGCATACTTGTCCTTACCATGATGTAGCTCCACCGCCTCAAGACGAGCCCGAAGAGAAGGCGTTAGTCCCGAAAAAAACCGTATCGCCTTATTTGTATATACCTAGCAAACTAGAGCCCAACGTTCAACAGTTGTTCAGCTTTATAGAGAGTGTATTGAGTGCGTGGGCGGCCGAGGAGGGGCTCACCAGCACGGGCGAATACTCCGAACCTGACGAGCGGATCGTTCGACGACGGAAACTCAACAAGTATAAAAAACGCACCGACATTCTCAACATACGACGTATAGTGTACGATGTGTCTATATTACGTGGCACCAAACTCCTAGGCAACGTCAGATTTCGACATTATCACTGGAAAGGCACAGCACAAACTTGCAATGAAGCATTTCTAAGAAAGGTGAGTTTTCACAATTCCCTAGGGATAATATCCGCGGAAGTATAACCTCTGTTCTTTATACGCGCGTCTATGGCTATATCAACTCTCGCTATCAACAATAATACTTACAATAGGTTATCCTAGAGATAAAAAGCCAGTAGAAAGAAGATAGTTAACATTTTGACCTTATTTTAGTTTCCTCCTCGGGAAACTGCAATTTCCTTTTCTGTTAATGAGGCCTTTTATTTTCCTTGCTCTACTTATGTAGGCAAAGTATACATAGGCATTTGGCTTTTATTTTTCATTTATTCTTTAGGTTAATGAATACTCTGATTGATGACTTATGGAAATTACATTTTTCTCAATACCCGCTATATTTTTATGGAGTTTAACAATTCACTACCATAACCTGTACAAATAATAATAAATGTATTTAAAGTACGGACTTGTACAAAAATAGCAGTTATCTGTTGCAAATTTTTCAGTCCCAAAATTACTACAGGTAAGTGTGCATTAAATCTTTGCGGATCAAGCACGTACTCTCGCATTGTCGTCAACAATGAATATTAATAGAGCCTGTTATATAAATAGGAAACTCGCTGCGTCAAGAACTTTCTCGAACCCGGCTGAGGCTTACGGTGATTTGCAAAACAAAATGTTTAATGGCGAGCTGTCTCCGTTACAGGCGTCTATGTAGACAGGTATAATGTAGCCTAAACAGTCCTCTGAAGTAAAAGTTTGTTGCCGAACTACAACTTTCATGCTCACTAAGCGAGGCAGAACTATTTATTATACCGTAGGCAACAGAACTTCTGGCAAACTCTAAGGTGCTAAAAGCGCACAAATATCAAATGCAACTGAAAATTTTGCTCAAACATCTTACTACTTCTAACTTAAATAATTACTCGATAACTGTATGTCATTATTTTCATAGTTACGGTAATTTAATGTCGTAAAAGCTACTGCGTTAATTATCATAGTGTCTTGTAGACGTTATCTAACAAAAACATAGAGTTTTCGCATATTATGAAACGTAGATACAATATAAATTAGTACTCTTAAATTTAATCAAATCGGAAATGAAACTGTTTTTCGGGATTTAAATCGCGTATATTTGTTTTTTTCAAATAAACCGACGTTTCGGGCCCTTTACAGGTCCCATGGTCACGGTTGACTCAAAACTCGGTTGGTTAATCAAATCGTTTTCCTGAAAGATGTAAGTAATGAAGAATTGCAAAAAGTTCCAACAAATAAATCCAGTATAATATTGGTTGTGGATGTGTGTAATTACTATATAGTTATGGTCATAGCGTTTTATACAATATAGTATTTAAAGCTTTTGTTCACTATTAGATGCAGAGTCTCACCATGGTATGACTTCATATTTACGTTCCCGATAACATATAATATTTACAAAAATGCTTCCAATATTTTTTAAAGTTTTGAAATCTTAATGTTCAGTATACTTAAAACATTTCAATAGAATTACAGAAATTAAATGACAAAATTTTATAACATATTACGATGGAACGCCTTTATCAATAAAGGTCATTTCAGTCAATAAAGGTTAGGACAGGAAATATGTTTATAACAACATAGAAGCATATGTAGTACAAAAAAATATCCTGGGGCTGTATAGGGTAGAGCGTTATTAAATTTCATTGAAGGGGCTGCGACATGGTATATATTACGCGATGAAAGGCGGATACGCCACGCCGTCGAGGGCCATCGAGCCGAGTGGTACCACCACCGCATACGCTCAAAGCAACCTTCCTTTCTACATTGTTTTGTGATCAAAAGCACAAGATACGTACCTAGAAAATTAATGTATATTACAAATTACAGGTAACCCAAATTTCTAAAGTAAGTTGTTAACACGTTGTTGCTCATTGTTGCCCTTATTGTATTATGTATTAATTTTTTGGCTTGTTTATATAAACTTGGTTGGTGGAAAAAAGTCGTGGTACCATAATAGTTTTACCTACCGCCGCTCGAGCAGAGCCTGTGGACTCGAATCGAGTGGGCTCGCACCTTTTAGTTTTCGGAATACATATATACATGACTCATCCGTAGAACAAAGACCTATGTGCAAGATTACTTGTCCTCAGGACATAGTACATTTCGTTCGTTCTTCTTCGCTGTGGATGTCAGATCGACTGTTGTTTGATTTTATATTTCCGAAACGAAATAAGGTATATAAATTCGCAAAACACCTTTACGTGGGCCTTAGTTTGAATAACGAAATTATTTTCGTAATGTACCTATTCTCTTTTCGCTATATAATCACAACGGACTTTGCTCTTCGAATGTGTCCTCACGCCAGTTTTCGAAACATGTGCGAAATTTAATTTGAAATGTACCATAAACTTTTCGGTAAAGAAAAACATCTTAATGAAACCTGCCTAGGCCTTAGCCTAAAACCCTCGCCTGATAGGAGAGAGAGGAGATCCGTGCCCAACAGTGGGACATATAAATGGGTTGACGATAATAAGTTTGGTTCAATATTTATATATATATATATATATATACGAAATCTGAATCATAAGATTCGAATTAACTGGTCCTTTTTAAAATTTTGCACAAAAGAAATTGTATTGGTTCGCATCTAGCTCTTTTTTCTTTGTGCACATAACTGTATACAACTACACAAAATTCATGTACACGTTACGTGTGCTAGATGTATAAAGGGCTTTCCACAAAGACTTGAGGTAACAACTCCCAAAGGTAGAAACGAGCGGACAAGGACCGTCAGAACAATGTTATGAGACTTAACATAGTAAACATATCCAGTAGCAGTAGAACTCCTGGTAAAAGGTTCGTCCAGTTAAGTACTGCCACCTTAGCTATTTCTGCCACCAAGCAATAATGTCAGCATTACTGTGTTCCGGTTTTGAAGGGTAATTATGGTACTGGTGAAATTACAGGCTCATGGGACTTGCCAACTTATGTCTCAGGGAAATATAGTGATGAAATGTATACTCAACGTGTATGTATCATCACTATATTAATATAAAAGGTTCACAGCCCCTGGGCAACGTGTGAAATCCCCAACCTGCAATGGGTCAACGTGGCGGACCATCACCTAAATAGTCTCCTTAGAGGAGATTTGAGCGCTGCTGTAGGGCATATAATAAGTAGATTATTTTTCGTTCTTATTTCACCAAGTGACCGGACGAAACATGTTGCAGTGCCACTCAGAGCTTTAAATCGCAAAGATCTGAGGGTCACTACCACTGCGCCCGTCACCCTGAAGCATAAGTTGACAAGTCCCATGCGCCTGTAATTCACCAGCACCCTTACTCATCCAAACCGAAACGCAGTTATTGGCCGCAGAAAATAGTAAGGTGCCAGTACTTCCCTAGGAACTTTTTCACATGGAGCTCTTCTGCTACTAAAACAGAAATAACATACATCTCTACTATATAACTTTGCTTCAATAATATAGTGTGGTTATTCCTCCGCTCTCACTACAGTGTTTATGTAGGATCTTTTAATTAGGATAAAATAAAGGATAATATTGTTGCTAACTATACAAATCGCGTACGCCACTATCAAATAATTTCACAAAGTCTTGTATTTGCGTTTTATGAAATATAATAATAACGATCAGTGTAAAATGTAGTAAAGTAATAAACGAATTATGTTACCCTTCAAGTAGCACGCTTCGTCTAGCTTTACGAATTTCTGTGCAACCTTAATTCAGATGGCGACGAACGTTGGAATAACATCGTTTGTACAAGATTTAAACCGTCTACCTCTAAAGATATTTTGGAATGAAGGGAGCAAATGCTTTCAAAGTGTTTCCAGCTGTGTTAGTTTTGCACAGTGCTTAATTAATTATTTAATAAACTAAAATAAATTTAATTTAAATTTACACAAATGCAAAATAATACATTACTCATTCATTGTTTTAATTTAAATTTTGTTCAAACAATGAAATCCTGAAATGGTGAGACTATACACGTAATTCATGAATAACATATAATATGTATAACCAAAAATATTGTAAATATTTTAAAAAAACCAAAAGGGCAAGGGGCACGTTGTTGTACAATTTATTTAATCGAACTTTATAGAAGCATAATAACTTCAAGAATTGAAAACAAACAAAGTCTTATTGTTTTGTCAACACTCTTCTTTCTCCCATTTTTGTTAAAACGATAAGTGCCAGCCTAAATTTCTGCACATTTAATACCTGAGCCAATTGATTAAATTTATTCTGAGTTTAAAGAAAACATTGTGCTGGCAGATATCGGATGATGATCGCATGTCACTGACGACGGCTGTGTCCGACGAGGAGGAGCCCGGAGAAAGCGCTATGAACTCGCCGTACAAAGGCAAGCAGACCGGCGCAGCCGCCGCTTCCTTCAACTGCACAGGCGCGGTCAGGAAAGCCGGGTGAGTTTTTATAATAAATCTACATTGTTGCTTACACTCAGCATTGGGTGGCTAGGGTTGAAGAAGGTTAAATAGAATTACAGTAATTAAGCTATATTGCTATGCGTCGTGAATTTGAAGACTTTTATTTGCCGAAAGTACCGATTTTCATTTTTGCTTTTACAAGCTGTGTAAACAAACCAATAGACAACCGTAAGTATTTAAGTACTTGTAACGACTAGTTACAATCCGTGTACAGTGTATCTTGCTAAACCACCTTATCAAGAACTTCTAAAATGAACAAATCCTACAAGTTCGCAATTCAAAATTCGCAAAGCAAAAAAATCGTTACTATAAAAAATAAAGTATGAATAACAATCAGATAATACAAATTTCACAAATTGCAAAAAACGCTGAAACAATAAAATTAAAATCACAATGTGGCTGGATATCGTTTTACGGCGCTGCCATTCAAGACTATTGCCTTTTCACCCCCAAACTCTTCACATCAAATGTAAACCGAGGGACCAGTGATTATATAATTCTATTATTCATTTCAGAATTGGAACCATCAGTTATCAGTTAGTTTGTCTTTCAGACATTTGTATTTTTTTGTAATTTAAAATAATAAGGTTACTCTTACCGACAAATTGAGTTTCGGTGTATTTATCACTTCAAAAACCTTAAAAAGGACTTGTTCAAGTAAAGTGACACGGCTCTCTGGTTTTTTCCTTTCTTATGTTAATTTTCGTTCTTACAAAAAATTCATACATATTGAATACTCATTCAGTACACGTACACACTCCGTTTCATTTTACGCTTTTCAGCAGACAAACAAAAAGTGTAATAAAAATGCTTCTTTGAAGGTTTTAAAATAAATATCACAAGAACCGAAGCGAAGAAAGACGACGTCGCATCGTAGGCCTCTGACGAGTTTCTGTTAGAAAAAGCCTACGGCGTCCTTTATGTTTCTTACGGCTACAATTCCTCTCCCATGAATCCCAAATGACCGGAGGGAAATCTTAGCCGTGACCCATTCACATCTCCCCCTGAACGAGCCTGCGCTCGAAGGTGTGGCGACATATTACGCTTATATTATTGTCACATACATACAAAGTTTTTAGAACCATAACGACGCTTACATATTATGTATATGTATAATGCATATTACTCATATCATGCAAAGACCCTTATTTTGAATACGAAAATGATGCCTCTTCCAGTATGTATACCAGCTAATCTTCTTTGTCCCAACAATATGATTACACATGCATACATACATATACTTCACGCCTTTTTCCATCGGGGTAGGCAAAGGCAACGAGCAATCTCCCACTTGCTACGGTCTTGACACACATCTTTCGCCTCATCAATACGCATCAATGCTTTCATACACGCTCATCGGTTATGGATACTCTTGACCTAGCCCTTCCTTATGATGCCTTCAATTTGGTCATGTTAAGTTCGCCTTCCTCGGCCCGTACCAACTTGTCCGCTCACGCTCACCTTATAAATATGTTTCGCTAAGCTTCTTTCATTCAATCTTTCTACATGTCCAAACCATCTAAGCATCCCTTTCTCCATCTTTGTCACTACATCATCTTCCACACAGCAACGTTCTCTTATACACCGTCCGTAATTTATCCATCGGAGTCACTCCAGTCATACTTGTCAAAGCTCTAATTTCTACTGTGTTAATTCTACTTTCGTGCTTCTTCTGTCGAACCCAACATTCACTACCATACATAAGTGTACATAGTAACCAGCACCCCTTCAGGCGCAGCCAGTCGTGTCTTTTTAGATACTTTCTGGCTGCTCATAAAATCATGCAACGCTCTTTTCACCTGATTCTCTGCGTATGCTGATGACAGCACAGTTGTAGATAGGACCAATGCAAGGGCCAGTGGAGAGAAAATCCACTCTCGACGAGAGTTCACGGTTAGCCGTTTAGATTTGACGTTCAAGGCAGTCTCTGATTGGGGCGATGCCAATCTTGTCAAATTTAACGCTACCAAAACGCAGGCGTGTCTATTCTCCACTAAACGGATCCACCCGACTTTCCGTAATATATCCATACCGATAGCCGACCATCTCCAGCTACTTGGAATGGACCTGTCGTCCAATCTGAACTTTAGCAGATACCTTGAATCCATGGCCAAAAATGCAGTCAGGAAGCTTGGCATCCTTTCCAGGGTGAGGCGTTACTTCACACCGGGACAGTTGCTTCAGTTGTATCAAGCACACGTCCGGTTGATATCGAATTCTGCTGCCACCTTTGGGATTTAGTAACATATCAACTGGCCACCTTGGATTCAATTAACAAGCGTACCAAGAGGCTTATAGGTGACTCGGAATTAGTAGAGGCGAAGCTGCAGAGCCTTGAACACCGCCGTAAAGTTGCCTGCTTATCGGTATTTTACAGGATATATTACGGAGGATGTGCGATGGAATTACACGATTTAATTGCGCCTTCCCCTTTCCATCATCGGGGGCCTAGGCATAGGCTTGGCTTCCACGCCTATGTTGTGGATATTCCAAAGTTTCGCACGAAGCGTTACGCTTCCACATTTATATGGCGAACGGCGATGGAGTGGAATTTCCTGCCTGCAGACTTGTTCCCTGAACGTTATAACTTGGACTTTTTCAAGGCGAGAGTAAGTAGGCATTATTTAGGTGTGCATGCTCCGTCGTCAACCTCATCGTCACTTTTCATCAGGTGAGATGGAAGGCAAATGCACACTTACATTAGAATAAAAAAAAATTACCTGCGTTCACTCTTGTTTCAAATTTAACTTTCATATCTTCCATCACACGTTAACATAGAATCCAAACTACAAACTTTTTCACTTGCTTCACTTTCTCTCCTTCAATCAATTCAACTTCCCCTCTTTTAAAAACCATTACTTACGTTTTACCCTCATTAATTTTCATTCCTTTCCTTTTTAAAGCATCATGCACAATATTTACCATCTTTTGCAACTTCTCCTCTGACGACGGCAATATCACATGATCATCGGCATATAGGAGGCATTTGACGAGTAAACCATCCATTCTCAGCCCCCACGTAATCTCTTTCAAAACTTATAGATACGTATATTAATATGATTAGCTCCCTCCTTGATTTTATTACCTCGAGTGAACACAGAAACTACGTAATGAATTTTGTTGGATCAATAATTATTGGAGTCAGTAGAATCGCACAACTGTGAACTCGACAAATAACATTTAATAATTTAACTAAAATTCTAACTCAAATCCAATCATCAGGTTACACTGACTGAGAGGCTTATGTCCACTGCTGGACATAAGCCTCTCCTAGAGCACGCCAACTTTCCCGCATCCAGCCAATGCCGGCCACCTTGCTCAGGTCGTCCGTCCATCTTGCCGCAGGGCGTCTCGCACTACGTTTTCTTTGACATGGTCGCCATTCCAGAACAAGTCTGCTCCATCGGCGATCAACCCTCCTACAGACATGCCCGGCCCACTGCCACTTAAGCTTACTGATTTTGCGAGCTATGTCGGTCACGTTAGTTCTTTGACGTATGACCTTGTTAGGGATTCGGTCCATCAGATTTCTCTGAAGCATAGCTTGCTCCGTCCCACGCTGAGCGACCTTAAATTTGTGGATGAGGCCTGTTGTTAATGTCCACGACTCGGCTGCGTAGGACATAACTAGTAGAACGCACTGGTTAAAACTGCCTCCGTGGCCGAACGGTTACCATACCGGACTGCCACGCAGAGGTCCCCGGGTTCGATTCCCGGGCCGGGAGAAATATTTGTATGGCCTACATTTATTTCTCTCGTGAGTTTGGGTGTAATTTGTGGTTGTCTATGTGTGTGTCCATGGCACCCGCGACACAGGGTTTCCCTAGTGCGGGGCTATGTTGAGTGTGTGCGTTATTATTATTATTATTATTATTATAGATGTTTTTTCCTCTCAGCCTGTTGACTGGTTTTAACAGCATCTACGGACCGAAATCAAGTAAATGCTGTAGGGCTTGTATGTATATGGTGAGAGTGTACTAAGGACCCACTTCGTTCTCTTCCATCTGCATGAACTTTCTCACAATCCTACAAGTATTCAAAATTACGGCTTTTTGTAATGTTATGTAGAGGTTTTCTTTAAAACCTAATAATTTAAGACTATGAAGAAGATGGTTTGGAATAACGCCTGTTGTAGAGAGAACAATTGGGATAACATATACTTTTTCCTGTCGCCAAATTCTAGCTAATTCATCTTTGAGCTCTGCGTATTTACTAATTTTTTCAATTATGGTCTTCTGTATGTTATGTGTGTTAGGAACTGCAATGTCTATTAAGTATGTAATTTTATTTAATTTGTCTTGTAAAGTTATGTCAGGTCTATTAAAATGAATAGTTCTGTCAGTGAGTATGGCGCGGTCGTAGTAAAGTTTGTGTGTTGTATTCTCTAGGATAGTTTGTGGTGTATACTTGTAGTATGGAGTGATTGATTCATGTATGAGTGCGTATTTGAGAGCCAGATTCTGGTGAATGACGTTTGCTACTTGATTATGTCTATGAGTGTAGTCTGTTTGAGCAAGTGCTGTGCAAGCTCCTGTAATGTGTTGAATAGTTTCTGGTTGGATTCGACATTTGCGACATTTACCATTTATTACTGATGAATCTTTTATTATAAATTTCCTGTAATTTTTTGTATTAATTATCTGGTCTTGGATTGCAATCATGAATCCTTCAGTTTCTGGGAATAAATTACCTATTTTAAGCCATTTATTTGATGCTATTGAATTTATATGTGTTTGTTCCAAATCATGAGGATGTCTACCATGCAATACTTTTTTCTTCCAGTCTTCAATCTTTTGTTTTTGCGGGTCGTCGTTGTTAACATTTTCTGTGTCTGTTTGTTCACTTAAGTTAAGCGGGGTGTAATTATGATCATTTAGAACTATTGCTTTATGTATTTTACTAATAGCTGATTTTGAGTAAAAGAATGTTTTTAAACGACTCACTTGTTTTCGCCAAAGGTGTTGGATGTCTATTAG